ATAAATGAATATTAATGTTATTTTATTTGAAATTTGATTGATTTTTATTTGCTAAAGGGGACTCAAAAAACCATTTTTTTGGAATTTCCGTTTCTGTAAAAATGACCCCATATCTTCAGGTCTGATTTCAATATATCGTTATCTATCAATAATTTAAGAAAATCAGTAAACAAAAATCATTATAAAAGATTCTATAAGATTAATAAGAGATAATACTTTTAATGTTTGACAAAATTATTAAACAAACACATAGTATTGATAATTTTAGTATTGAAATGTTCGAGGGTTTTGAAAATATACTCTTTTATTGCTGAGTATCTTAAATGCACAGCGGTGTATAAGGCACTATAATTACAGTATATGAATGAATCACAAAAACATGTTTATATAAAAATTATACACTTATGTAACATAAACCATGCAATCAATGTAGAGTGAAATTACGAGACAAACATATCATTTGTATAGATATTAGTCATGTTTTTAAAGTTTTTAGACTTTGACAGATATTTGCAACAGGTTAAGAAATGCAAAATTATTTATATAATATTATTATTAGTATAATAATTATTAAAATAATTTTATCATTGTGTACGATATATATATTTTTATTATATACAATATTATCACGTTCTGTTATAACGTGTATTAAGTTTTTAATAGTTATTTAATAAATCATAATGTATTTATTAATTATTTATTATGTTTGTAGTATTACAATATTTTAATATAAGTTATTTGTTTACATAATCGTATTATGAGATATGCAAGGTCATAATGTGTGTTAAAATCATTTGTCAATATAATAAAATGCTAAAATTTAACAATAATAATAAAATTATTTTAATTAAAATTTATATTTAAAATATTATATTTTAAATTAATTATTTTTTAAAAATTTGTTTAATTTATTAATTGTGCCACGAAATATCATATTATAATAAAAATACAAATAATATGAAACTTCAGCAATGTTACTTCAATATTATTAACCTTTTAACGCATTATTAATGGCATTAAGTAAGGGATACTTTCCCGAACCGCAAACATCCCTAAAGTCGTCGGTCTCTATGGCCCACACCATAGCCCCACCCAAACCCTTACTCTTAATGAACTCCACTTTTGCCTTGATACTTTGCTCATTATCGTAGCCAACCCATTGATTACCATTTACAGCATAGGGAGCCATGCGTTTGTCGCAGCACTTTGTATCCCAAGACTTGTTTTCGCAAATCTAACCAAAAAACAAAATATAATTAAAAATATTTTTAATTTAATTAAAAGACATTTATTAGTGAACCTCATTATAGCCCAAATGTCCGATGGACCGAGTGTATGGTCCGGCACCTCCCGGCCCTGTTGTAGGTGCGTTGAAACTATTGTTTTGTGGTGTGGCCAACGTGAATGTACGCCCGTAAAAGGGGATGCCTAACACCTAGGTGATACGCAAAATATATGAATCGTATATATTTTATGACCAAGATTTGAAAAGTTACAAATTATAAGCTATAATAAACATTTTAAAAGTTTAATACATATAACCTGGTTTATATATGAAGCAAGATAATATGAATAATACATGATTGAGGTTTGTATTGTCACAAGAGCACATTTTAATAACAATAAACTTTTACTTTTAACTTACAATTTATGACACAATTTGACCGATCATTGTCTTCGGTATTATTTGCGG